ACTATTTTTACAGTTGTAAGAGAGAAAAAGAAATTACATTCAAAACCAAGTTCTCCATGGAAAAACATCTCACTGGATTTTAACAGATATTTGCTTTTATTTATCTCTGCTACCATGAGCACCGAAGGCATAGCTCTGTAGAACTACACCCTTAAAAAAAAAAAGTGGACAAAATGTGCTCAGCTAGCACCTCCACAAGATCACACAGCAAAAAATAATCCTCAGTTATAATCCAAATACATGCAGTGATGGAAAGAATGTTTTATGGAAAACTATCCTACTGGAATTTAAGAGTTCTGCAATGTGTGGAAAACAAATATGCTTTAATAGGTTGCTGCTTTCAATGACAGAATTTATTTCCAAGAAGGTCATAACCATAAAGTAGAAATCTAATTCTTCTTTCAGAGCAGTGGCAAAAGGGGAATCGAAAATAGTGACACTGAAATTTTATCTTTGACCTCTTAGAGAAAGTGGCAGAATGTTGTTGTTTTGTGGCATCTGTTTTGGTTATGGTTTTTTTTAATGTTTCTTAAAGAAAAAAAATCTGTAGTTTTCTCATTTTCTCAGTTTGGATTCAATGAATTATCTGCAAATACATTTAAACAAAACCCATTAAGTCGGTAATGCATTACCATTAATTTCTCAGTGTTTTCATCCTTCTCTAACAATTAGGGGGAACACATTCATGTCCAAAGCATCTGACTCTTCTGTTCACTCCTTTCCAGTATGCATTAAAATAGGCATTTAGGCATAGCAGTATTCAAGTCAGGAATGTAAAATATGATTCTGTTCTCTGCCCCCACCCTCCTCAGTGTCAACTTAAATGGTTTTTTGCTTTCTTTTTAAAATTTCCTGCCTGTGTAACTGGTAAGGGAATTATCTTGCAGATCAGAAAACTAATCCAATCCCTTTTAGCATATTTGCTACCAAATCTGAGTGAAGACTGATGCTCTGGACAGTCAGAACCAAAGTAGGATGTAATACAAAAACTTCTCTCAAAATCCAGCTTACTTAGACCCACTGCTTGCAGACTCCTTAACAATCTCCATGGTAATGCAGATCTCAGAAAGCAAAGTGATGCTTAGTGAAACAGGCCTGCCTTTCTCATCTGCTTTTCAGCCAAGCAGATAGGCCTGCTGTTGATGTTTTTCCAAGTCCTTTCACCAAACCCTCAGATGGCCTTCAGAGTCAAAACCACAGGGAGCAACTCAAGATAATGCCCTGGATCGCTGCAGGCACTCAGGGTATATCTGTATGCAGTTTAAAAGGTATGACATTAGCAGGCATTAACCTGGGCCAGAAGAGTATACATCAAACAAGCCCTGCTTGCAGCAACCCAAGCTTTATCTCCTTTGGCTTGAACTAACTAGAAGCACGGACAGCCTTCTGCATACTGAAAGGCAGTAGCCAGCAAATATTGGACATCTTATTCTGTGTGAGTCCCAATATACCACCTAAGCTAAGCCAATAATGGCATTCAATAGAAAAGACACGCGCTGCATCCTATTTGCAGTACCGTTTTCCATCTCTCTTTAGCAACCTCTGCTCCCTGAAAGATCCTGCAGAATTTCTGGTCAGGTCTCTTCCTTTCCCCAGATCTTTTTGGCGCTTACTCAGTATGCTTTCACTATCGGGTCATTCTGGTCTTCCCAGAGCTAGAACACCAGTTTGTTTCAGGAAGTTTCACCTGCCCAAATACTTTGGGATATAACCAGCTCCCACATTTACAAACCCTCTTATTTGGGCTGGTTTTTTACTCTCTGCCATGTAATTGGAAACTTTTCTATGATATTTTTAAATGTCTTCTGGCCTACAATATTGTTATACTGCCTTCTGAAACCTGACACTACAGGCAGAAAGATGTCCTTCTGTACAGCCTGTGGTCACTTCAGTTCTGGGAGTTTTCCAAGCCTCTGCCTGCCTGCTGATGGCTCTGGAATTTTCTTCCTACATGGGTGTGCTGGTTTTGACTGGGTCAGAGTTTATTTTCTTCACAGTAGCTAGTATGGGCCGTGTTTCAGACTTGTGCTAGAAACAGGCCTGATAATGCAGGCACATTTTCCCCTCTTGCTGAGCTGTGTTTGCACAGTCAAGGACTTTTCTGTTCCTCACTCCACCAGAGAGAGGGCTGGGGGTGCATAAGCCAGGACAGCTGATCCCAACTACTACAGGAATATCCCACACTGCATGGTGTCATGCTCAGAATACAAGCCAGGGGAAGAAGAAAGGAAGGAGAGGATGTTCAGAGATACAGCCCCCTGTGCTAAACACTTACAGATAATGCTAAAAGTAACTAAAACAAAAAAAGCACCTCACTGAACAAACAATCCCAACTCAAATTAGGTAATTTTTAAAAGGAAAGACTTAGCTTAAAAGGATAAAGCTCAGCTAAAAGTGAAACTTCAAATTTTCAGTGAGAGCACCAATCAAATTCTCAGAAATGCGTCATTCTGTCAGGAAACTTCATGTTTGTTTCAGTCAGGGAGGTTTTCAGTTTCTCAAGAGAAACTTTTGGCTCTCGGTAGGTGGTGCTATAGCCCTTCAATCCACCCCTGAGTAGAAGCCCTGCTTCCACTGCTGAAGTGAATTTCATGGAGTAGTATGATCAGCGTCACCTCACCACTTGAGGGCGAAGACTGAAGGACTAATAAAAAACCAAAAAAATCTATGCTGAAGTTGTAAGTTAAATACTTACATAACCCTGTAGTTGGGATGGCATTTAAAGTCAGCAGTTCTCATTGCACTTCATGCACAGACATCATCGCACCATATAAGACAAAACAAAACAATGATTGTACCAGAGAACTACAAAATTATCATGTCCACATCCATAAAAAATACAGATAAAGAATGGCACAAACATCTATTACTTCTACAGCCTATTCTAAAATCATATGAGCACTTCCATCAAATGATCTGAACAAACACCTGAAGAAAATAGCAAGTATTGATATTGTTCTAGGGGATGAGTTCCGGCTATAAAAGCTGAACATGTCTGCAAGATAGGTTGTTTACATCCATGCTGTGAAACCTGCAAAAATTTGGATCAGAGCCCAAAGAGGGTACCAAGAGGCCCTAGGTGCTTTGAGCAGCCTGGTCCTGTCCCTCTTGGCCACCCGTGCCAAGACCTGCCTGCCATCATCCGTGCAGGGCTATGCTGTGGGCTGGCTGTGCCAGCCCCGTCCCCTGAACCCCCCCTTTCTGGGCAGGGGAACCAGGGCATCCCGCTCATAGTCATGTCTCCAGTCCTTCTCAGTTCTGGGTCCTGCATGAAACTCAAACCCACATTGCAGTGATGGCTCTGCTGCTGCAAACTGGTCACCTTGTCTCCTCTAGCCTGGGCAGTGTCCCTGCCAGCCACCACCCCAGCCCAGCCCACAGCACTATTTTGGAAATGGTATGGCACTGCTGCTTGGCCTCAGCTTGCTCTCCCTCACATTAAGCTCTCCCTGACACAAAGTGCAGTGAACAACTGCATTAATTTGTGAGCCGTGAGCATGCAGTGACTCACCTCACCTGGACGTGAACTCTGTTTCAAATGAACAGTTTGCCTCCCAGCCTTGCTTTATTCCTTGAATAAGGACTAACACAGGAACTGATCCCACTGTATGAATAAGGCCTCATCTACTAAGAATTTATCAGTTCAGTTTAGAGGACTTTCTTAAAAATTTTACTGAACTCCTACGCTTTTGTGGAAATCTCTGTTTTACAGAGCTCATACACAGCTGTAAATGAGAAGTCAAGTCCAGAAGAGTTTGCTTTGGTTTACTGAATCAGTTAAGGCAGTCTAAATTTAGAAATCACCTCACCTCAATCAGAAGATATCTCAAAGCCCTGGGTTTTTAAAGGAGATCAGAAGAATCTTTTCAGATGAAACTGTATTTGAACTGTAGATCTTTTGTAACAAGAAATACTCAAGACACACATACATAGTCAAGGAGCTATATGTGATGGTTTTATTTGTAAAATACTTTATGCTAACAGCAAAATACTGTAATTTTATCTTATAAAAGTTAGCAAAAATTGATACATTTAAAACAGAAATAAGAAAACTATTTCTACTTTGATTCAACTATTCAATTCTCTTTTCAATATGGAAGCAATAGGTATGCACCACACTTTACAGATTTCAGTGCCAGACAGATCATTAAATAAATATATCATTCTAGTGAAAAAAAGTCATAAAACTACTGAAAAAATATAAGCATTTTTGGCTTTTTCTAACATTTTGAACTAGTAATATCTACACATACCAAAGTTCTTGGCATATACTTACTGTATAGATCAGTAACAGAAAAATGTTAGTAGCACACCAGAACAATCAAATTTGCAGTACATTTCTAGTGAAAAAAGAAAATCAGAAATTCAGCCTACTTCTTGATTCATACAGAGGACTTCTGTAAGGAAGTGGCAGGGGGAACTTAAATTACTAATTTCATATCTCATAAGGCCATTGCATATCCTAATTTACAATTAAAAACCAGTCCTATGCTATATATAATAAATACTGCCTGTTTGTTATGAACAGAAGTGAGAATAAATAAACTTCACTGTTTTATCCTATTGCTAACAAATAAACTATGAAATCTTTGCCTTGAAGAAGACAGTTCTACTATGTACATAGGCATAATTTTGGAAGCCACCGTTGCCTCACATTTCAGAGGTGAAATCGGTTCTCTGTGCCAGTCTTCTGAGCTGCTTCTTTCTGTGAAAAAGTTGGACATCTGGGACTGTGCTCAGACATGATGCAAGTGGCAAGGCAAACTCACACACCAATCTGCCAGTACATGGACACTGGGAGGACAGTGCCTGATGCTGGAAAAACACGTAACAGAAACCGTATGGTGGAGTTCAGGATCCTGAAGAAGTATTATCTTTAAATTTCATTAAGGAAAAACAAACCAAATATTGAACTGTTTGTTCTAGGTGCTTTTTTTGCCCTTTTGTAGAGCTAAATCAGAGAAAAGCACTACTCCAACTGTACTTACATGGTTGTCTGCTACAGGAGGCAAATAGAATCATTAGGGTTGGAAAACACCTCCAAGATCAAGTCTAGATACAAGTTAACTAAATGCAATTAAACATATTTTTCCTTTCTGATATTTTTGCTTAAAATATCCAATTGTCAAAGCAAATTTCATTCCTCACACATACTTAGATAACTTAGCTGGCTATGATTCATCCTCCAGGGTGGACCATTCTTTCTTCTCCTCTTTTCCATCTGCTTCTGCTGACCTGATGCACAGTGTGTCTTTTCTAATCAGAATAATCTTTCAGATTCAATGAATCATGAAAAGATGCTTTTAAGATAGACCACATTGCAAATGCTACAGGGAACAGTGAAAGTAATTTCTGAGGAGCACAAATGCTACTTACAGAGGGAGTTAGGGTTCCCAAGTCTTCTGCTAACTTTGGTCTCATGAAGCCATACTATTAACTGCCGACAATTCAGTTTAATGGGACAACTCAATTTTACAGGCTTCTACATAGAATTTATAAAAACCTGATGAATTAAGATTCAAGACAGATGTAGAAGGCTTCAATCCATGACATGACAAGTGCTACTTTTCATTGGCTTTACTGAAGCGGGATTCCTTGGAGGACTCTGCACTCGATGACAGCCCTGCCAGGGCTCTCTGGCGCATTCCAACCGTAGCCTTTTTAAGCTCATGTCTGAGACTGCGGATTGTGCTGTTTATGGCAGCCACACATGCCTTCCAATCAAATCCACTTTCATTTAGATCAAAGGATGGAAAATTCTCTTGAAGGAAGTCTAAGAATAAACAAGTGTGTAATAGTGAGTTATCAATTATTTATGCAAGCTATATACTCTCTCTGGATGTAGTTAAGTCAAAATAAGTGTGTGCTACTAAAACAGGTCTGCTCTACTTTATTAACACTTAATGCTGTAGTGTGAGAGGCAGCCACGCCACACCTGTGAAGCTCTTAGCATGCATTGTCTGGATCTTAATTAATAACCCTTTCAAGCTCCCTAGATTCCAAACATGGAGGACAAGCAGTTCCAAGATTTGTTAGGAAATGCATGTTGCAAAAAAGTGTGATGAATCACAGAACAAATCAGAAGGGATCCATATGGCTCGGAGTACAACTCCCTGCTTCTTGCAAAACTACCTAAAACTAAATCATATCCCCATAGTATCCTAATATCATGTTAAGAGTGTCTTCTAGATGAAGGTTACTAGTTAAATATGCAACCTTACTAACTCAGTGAGCACTATCCCACAGTAATGCTGTGGAAGAAGCTCTTCTTGCTGTCCTGGACATTCCTTGCAAATCTCAACTTTAGGTGAGCTTTGGCTTTCTCAACACTATTTCACATTCCCAGGCAAGGTTTCAGCTTGGATAGAGTTAATTTTCTTCCTAGTAGCTAGTACAGTGCTGTGTTTTGGATTTAGGATAAGAATAATGTTGATTAACACACTGATGTTTTAGTTCTTTCTAAGTAGTCCAGGCCTTTTCAACCTCTCACACCATCTCACCAGCAAGCAGGTTGGGGGGCACAGGAAGCTGGGACGATGCACAGCCAGGACAGCTGACTCCAACTGCCAAAATGATATTCCATACCATATGGCCTCATGCTCAGCATATAAACTAGGGGTAAAGCTGGCTTGGGGTCATTGCTTGGGAAGTGGCTGGGCATCAGTTAGGGGGTGGTGAGGAACTGCATTGTGCATCACTTGTTTTGCATAATCTAATTATTTTTATTTTCCCTTACATTTCTCTCCTATTAAACTGTCTTTATCTCAACTCACATATTTTGCCTGTTTTTTTGTTTTTTTTTCCCCTTCCCCAGTTCTCTCCCCCATCCCAGTGGGGTGGGAAGGGGGAACAGGACAGGAGGGGAGAAGGTGGCCAAGTAGCTGTGTGGTGTTCAGCCACCTGACGGGTTAAAACACAACAGTTACTAAGTTTCACTTCATAAACTCTTCTTGTTTCTAACCTCTATAAACAATGTTTTGCTCCAGAGCTCAGTTATAAATTCCCTGCTTAGCCAAACTTGTCTCCCCACAGCTCTACCAGTTCTCCTGTCAGGATGGACTCTCTTGTGCTTGCAGAATGCTGTCCTTAAAGACCTGTCAACTTGCATGAGCTTCTCTCCTATTTAGAGCTGTCTCTCACAAGGTTCCACCTGATAGTTTCTCAAGTAAGCGAAACTCTGCTCTCCTAACCTATGCAGACCTCTTACACTACTTATGATCTTGAGGTCCAGGATTTCGTAGTCTCCCCAGGCGATACTGCCACCAATTATCACACATTAAACCTTTTCATGAAGGGCACCATAACCTGCTGTGCATGACACCTCTGCATCATCTACCCCCTATATTAAGAAATTATCCCAGATGTCCTCCACTGCTTCCATCTCCCACTGCGTTGCCCTTTTAAGCAGTGTCATGGAAACAGTTTTTTTTCATATGAACCATGTTGGTGATCTGGAGAATTTCCTGAGCTAATAAAATAGAACTCCATCTTCATCATCTCAATCTGTTTCACTGCTGACACTAATACCTGTCAGAATGGTTTCACGGACTAATTTCTCAAGTTTCATGTTTTGTTTGTAGGATACAAAGTTAATCACTCTTGTTAATTTCACCACATTACCATTTGAACAGAGATTTTCTTACCTCTGAGAGCATTAATTTTGTTAGAATCCAGGGGGCTCATGCCACGATCAAGACTACCATATACATTGCTTTTTACCAGCACATCTTCAGTGAACATATGACGAATTAGGTAGCGAGCTGACAGCTCCGGCCGTGTCTTCCCCTTGGCTACATAAATGACTGAGAAAGGCAACTGGACATTGCGCCATGGGCTCCCAAGAGGTTCTAAAAAAACATAACAAGGAGGGAAGAAAGATATTTTACTCATCCAACGCCAACCATGCTTCAAAGTGGCTGTGTTACAACAAAACTAACACCTGAAGCTACTCCACTTGTCTGGAAAGACCAGAGCAGAATTGTAACACTACAGCTAATGCTAATATGAAACATACTGCAGACAAATGTCCAGGTCGCCAGAAAACCCTGACTGTTGTACAGTCATTTAACAGTACTTCTGATGTGTCTTCAGCAATGCTAGCAATGTAACCTGCATTATTAATGATTTTTTCTAACTTGTTTTCATCTCATGTGAAAAGATTATGCCATTCCATTTACATAAGTAAAAAAAAAGTTCTGCTATTTCAGTGGTACTAAGATCCTGTAAATGGAAATGGAAAAAGAGTAAATAACTACTTCAATCCGATTCACTCCAAACATTAAAAAAAAAATGAGGAGGTCTGTGGGATCAGACTAGCAAATTTTGGGTGCAGAAGCAGATCTGATATAGACCCAAAGTGCTTCAAGGCAAATAAATTATTTCCAAGGGCAACTAATTTCAGCTCATTTCCCTTGAAACTTTCTAAGCGTCACACGCTATACATGGATTTTTTCGCAATGAATTTGTATATTGTAAAAGTATATTTTACTTTCATTAAAAATATAATGGTAGCTTTAAGATTTTTATTGTCCTAAAGAGTCAAGTTTTACAGAAAGGTGTTCTTTCTTCTGAAACTGCAATACCATTCCATAGATGTTCTGAGCTAGCTTACTCCTTTAAAGTACCATATCTACCAAATAAAAGAAAAAAATTAGGAAAACCAAACAGAGTATCTTAAGATGAACTTTCCAATCTTACAGCACATATGCATTACAGGACACTGGTAGATACAGACAGACATATGTTCTATTAGCAAGATAATGTTCTTCTTTGCTCCCTTGAAGACTTACTATACATATACCATTTGACTGCCTTAAGAGAAGAGTCACATAGTTCAGAAAACCCCTTTATTACGTAATTACACCTACAGTATCATCTTTTGTCTATCACTGACCACTTAAAACTTAACAAACAATTCCAGAAAATGCAAAGTTCTTAGTTTACCCATAGGTTCCAAAGACTGCTGTTTCCTGGTTGAAGAAGTGTAGAAAGCTTCTGGAAACTTATCCAATCCTGAATTCCGTGAAGTGTCAGTTGTGGAGCTGGTCATTTTCTGACAGTTTTGTGAGTTGCCTCCACTATCTTCATTATGACTTAAATCTACACAATGAGATGTATCTGGAGCATCAGTCACTTTTTCTTTCCCTTCAGCTGTCTTCTGAAACATTAAATGAGGTTAGCACATGCACCGAGAGAAGCCTACCAGTTTTCTAATTAGTGTTCCAGTTTATTTCCCATTTAGTATAAATTAGATTTCAGATATTTACAATATAGTTACTCCTGAATTTCTATCATGAAAATAACAGGCAAAACAGATAATAAATATTCAGAGATATGCAAAGAGCACTTTAGAAGCAGAAGTAAATGGAGTGACAGGTGTTTTGAGAGTTATTTTTCAGTCAATATAAAGGCATGGCTGGATGTATCTGAAAGAAAAGCTTATGAAAACAGTGCTACCAGTTACATGTTTAACCTCTCAATGAAATTTGACACTACTTCTGGGCAACATTTGCAGTGCCTTCATTTTCATATCCTATGCTTAAAAATCTCTTAAGTGAACGTTGGACACAGGAGTGGGAAGAGGCAGAGCAAGAGAAAGGCACATGCTTCCAGTATCCCTGTATGGAACTAGCGCTAAAGTCAGCAGGCATGTGATGCGCAACGCAGAGGCAGAACCCAAGGAATTTCCAATTAGAGCACTTGTATGATAAGGAGTTCAAATAATCAATCTGAGGAAATGCACAAACTTAGTACTTAAAAAATTATCACCTTCAGAGAACCTCCTGAGTTTGTTTTTGTTTCAGAGCGTAGACAGCGGATCATAGAGTTGACATTTGTGATACAGGTTTTCCAATCTTTTCCATGCTCACTCAAATCATAGGTTGGAAAGTTAGCTGCCAGAAATTCTACATATAAAATATAGAAAATGTTTTAAGCTTCATGACATAAACCAGCATTTAGAAGTATCCTAATCTACAAAGAGAAAGCAAGCTAAGAAATGCTTCATGTTTACTGTTCTCCATTTACAAGCTTTAGATTTCCATCTATATTTATTATATAAAGCATTTCCTGGTAGAATTAGAGGAAACGTGTGATCTTTCATACTAACTTCAAAAAACCCTTCAAAAACAACAATAAAAAACAGCCCACAAAGAACAGAGACATTGTAATGTCGCAGCCATTTCACATCTTATATAATCTCACTCTTTTAACCCTTTAACACATACATATCATGGGATTTGTGTAAATGACTTGACATTTAAAGAAAATAATACCCTCCCAATCTTTACCATTTCTCAATCCACAGAAGTGAACTTAAGAGAAAGAATATTTAAAAATCACCAGTTAATGTTTGTCCCAAGTACACCCTGACCATAAAAAAATCCAACCTAACCAACCAAAAAAACCAACCCACAAAAGCCATGCCACACAAAACCAGAAAATAAATTGCAATGAAAAATTTAGAGACAGTGAGCATGACTGATGAACATGGAGTACACAAAACCAAGAGAAATTCAAATTGTTTTATTCACATTGAAGAAACACAAACACTGAGAATTACAAAGCAAGACTTTCAAAACAAAAAGACACTGCAGAGTGGAGCACATCCACTATGGCATTTATCTGTTCCTCACTTGCTAGACAATGCTATCAAACATACACAAAAAGACTTCCTGTAAGTTAAAAACTTTATTAAGTGCTAAAGAAGTAAATCTGCACATTTTGGAAGGTAACATACCTCTTATTGCAGCAATTTTGTTTGGATCCAATGTCCTGCGCCCTCGTGCGCTCGCTCCCATAACGCTGCATAGCAGTGTTTTCTTGGGGAACAGGACACGAACCAGGTGGCGCGCGGCGTACTTCGGTTTAGTCTTTTGCCGAGCCTTCACCAAATCGTTTCCAAGAACTTTCACATTTCTCACTGGGTCACCAACAAACTCTTTTGTAAAACAAAAAAACATTAAAAAAAAAAAAATCCCAAACAACTTGTTAAAAAGAGAACACTTCTTCAAACTCCTTCTCTTGATCCCTATGGTACTCTCAGAATATGTTCTTTGCTATGGTTAATTCTACTACATATTATTACTTATCTTTGCTCTTGCAAAAGCAGCTTTAAATTGGAAAGGTAACAGAAATATCTTTTTGATTTACATTAACCACCAACATAACAAACTGAAATCAAAACACCCAAGAAGATACATTAGACACCCAAGAATCCACAATATTCAGCCTGGCCTATTTTACACAGGTGCAGATACCTTGTATGTTTTCAAGACAATGACTCATAAAGAGAGGCATATCCATACATGGTACTGCAAAAACATACATTGTTTACAAATTTGGAGATAGATACCCCAGTATTTCACCTACTATTCATGCAGTTCTTCAGTTGTATGAACTTATTTTTCAGACCAAAAGCAACAGAACTCTCATAGCTCAGCCTTCCACATAATTCAGGGCATTTATGCTTCACAAAGACATTAGTTTTTAAGACACAGTGCTATTTTTATATGTGCATATTTATTATAACGCAATGTTCCATGGAATTATTATTTTTCTGTGGAATTAAGCATTTTGAAATAAACCAAACACTGGAGGATCTGAGCATAGAAACGATGTTTCACTGATAAAATCCTCCTCAAGAAGAAAACAGGTATTTCCTTCACACAGATCAGGTAAATTGCTTTCTTAAAATGTGTCTACAGGCATATGCCTCACTGAGCTTTGGTGGCAATCTCTTTTGCCTTTTTAAACACATGGATAACACACATCCATTACGTGTGAATTATACAGAGGTTAAAAAAGGTTAAATCAAGTGTCTCAAGAGAGAAAAAGAGGGTCTAGTCTTAAAAGAACCCAAAGCACCTACTGTAAATCAAAGGCTTGTAGTAGTCTATGCAACTGTATGTGAACTGCAGAGGTTTTTAAGTGATCTCTGGTATATTAAACATTCCTGTGACCTTTCTCTCAAGAGCTTTAACAAGTATTCCATTATAGAAATGTGTGTCAGTCAACCAGTCCTGCTCCTTTATTTTTGCTAAATAATGGTAATTAAATTTCTTCAGGCATACTTTTTTCATACTAGCAGCAGTTTTTTAGCCTTTGTTTCTGAATATTTATTACAAAGGAACTCACCAAGGCTAGGGTCAATGAAGACTGAGGAAGATGGTAGCTCTTCACTGATATTCACATCCCCAGATGCGTTTCTGCAGTTCTCTACCACAGCATTATTTTCTTGACTGGGCTCAGATGGTGCTGGCACTGTTGATGATGCCACTGGTGAAGATGCAACGTTGACAGTACTTTCCACAATACTGGGTGCAAGATTTGATTGTGGTGAAAGGTCAGGCATCTCATTAGTTGCTGTGTATGATGAATGCAATGAATGTGTTGAAACTATAGTGGGGAGTGGTGGGCTCTGCCTACCAACAGGCTGCTGTGATTCAAACTGAAAACTCTGCTGAGCATGTTTTACTGTGGAATTGACTTGAGCATGGCCATTTTGTAAAGGAACCCTTACAATTGGACTACGCCTTCCCTGGCCTGGTGAAGAGAGATGAAGACTTAAGTCCCTTTCCATGGACTTTTGTACTCTTATTTTTCCTTGGGGCAAATGACTGGAACTTCTGTATGTAAATCCAACTGGTTTCTGGAAACGTGATTCAGAAAACAATTAAAAGGTTAAATTAGACACAGCTGGTCATTTTTTATTTTTATTTTTTAGCAAACCAGGAAAACTAAATTTTAGCAATTACGCTATTGGCAGCATACTATCCCTTGAAGTACTCACTGTTATTAACTCAGAGCTATTACTTTTTAGCCTTGTCTCCACTTTCGTCTATTCTCACTTGTAGCTGCAATACTAAGAATTTATCTGATAAGCTTCAATGTTTCTCAATTTTTTCCCACCTGCGGTGCTGGCATAATTGCTTTCTAGACAAATATATAATGAGAAAAACTTTGTAAAGGTCTTAAAGATGCTCTATAAAAAGGCACATAGGCAAAATAAAATCTAAAATTTTTCAGCCATTGACCCATGATGAATTTTCAAGGTATGTCTTCGCTAGGCCATGCTAGCTTCCTTTCAAACAAGAAGAAAAGAATTCACTTTCTCTTCTCTCTTTACTTGCTAGATGAAAAAATTAAACATTCAGATCTCATCTACAGTGGAAGATTCCAAAGAAACTAAGACAAACTGAGAGACAGGCTAAGTTTTTCCCCACTTTGAGTACTTTTATTAAAAAACATATGACCTCTAAAGCATGTATTCTACTTCAAAACACATGTCAGTAGCCACCAAATGTAGACGACACACGTGAGTTTGTTTTTCTTATTTTGTTTAATTTTTGGAGGGTTTGTTTGTTTCTTTACAGAAATCCCATTATATTCACCATTGTAACATTAAAAAAATCTCTGACCTGAAGAAAGGCTTATGTATCTGAAAGCCTGGCTGTTTTTCCAGCTTTTGGAGTTCATATGATATAAAAAAGTACCTTTACCACAAACCTTTCCTTATTTATATACTTAGCCCTTCAAGATACAACAATGGTACAGCTATTAAAAAACCCAACAGCATTTTTGTTGGTTTTAAACAGTTGGCAGATTGCATCTTACAAGCTTATAGTGATAAAACCCTGTAAAAAAAAAAAAAAGGCAGTGCAGGTCACTTTTAACCCAAACATTAAAGCAGCTGCCATCCCATAGGATCAGAGGGGAGAGTAAGAGTACAGAGGTCTCATAGGGTTCATATGTAGGTGACAAGATCAGTTTATTCCCTGGATCTCATGGTTTTGGACATGTGGACAGTACAAGCTTGGAGTTGACATGAAAAACCCCACATTCCAAATAAAACCTAGTATCCTACTGATAGCTGACATGCACGAGCAATTCATTGCTTTTACCCACCCTTAAAGCAACTGGCCTTACTGCTGTCTTGACATCTGACAGCAGCATCACCTCTGCCACATTAAAAGCTTAGCAGTATTGTTGACAAAAAAGGTCATTATGGATTTTATGACCTTCTTCAAAAATCATCTGTTATGCTTTCCTTTTAAAGAGCATTATTAGAAGTACTAACATTGTGTCTCCTTACTTAAAAGTGGATTGACCATTTAGGAACAAAATGAATAGCGTGTATTCAATATCAAACCTTATTAAAAATGTTGAAAAAGGTGTTTTTATTAAGGAAAATAATAAATTCTAGACTGTAATGGATATGACAACACATTGCTGAGATCTAAAAATCAGTCACTGAACCAGCCTGACTGATGCTTAAACATTCTTTTAAACTGCAGAAACCAGTAAGACAGCACATCACATGTTGCAAAGGTGCAAGAGCAAAAGATGTACCTACACAATTAATTTCTGTTCATTCCAATACAAATAGAATTTTCCAGCATCTATCACAGCATCCTGGATTTGACAGGGGCCACTGCCTATCTGTGACCACCAGTCAATAACAACACAGGAGAGAGAAGCTGGTGGACAGTAAGAAATCTCAAGTAATTTAATTGAAATAGATTCTAAGTCTACTACTTTGTTATTAATTTTAATCTTAGTGAATTGTTTTCTTAAATAAGCATCAGAGGAGATGAGTGAATTAAAGGAAAAATAAATGTCTTAGGTCTTTAATACTCACAGGTTTGAGCAACAGTGGCTTTACACGAGTATGCTGCATTTCTGAGACCTTTCGATGAAGCATGTCAAATTTTTTATCCAATTTCTGAATGGCATCATACATGGCCTGTCGATAAATGTAAGAGTGAAAACAGTGCTGTCTCACAAGAACCCAAACTAAACCTGAAGAAACCAGAAAGTTCAGTTGAAAGCTAATTTCCCTCCCTAAAACTGCCTAAGATCTGTAGATAATATCCACATTCTGTAATCATACCAAAAATCAATTTAGACAAAAAATGCAAGTAACAATGGTAAATATTACAGTAAAAAGAATTCTCAGAGAAGTTTACTCTTGTGACTCTAACATGGCTGGCACTTGAAGGTTGCTCTTACTGCTTCCAGCAGATATTTTATTTGTACCTATTTTCATGTTTTATGATACACTGATAAGTTTCTGACAAGCTCTAAGGCACATTAGGTATTACGATACGCTATTTTAAGTCCTGATAAGTTTCCAAATACAGAGGTAAAAGCCTTACTGGCAGCCACTGAAATATTGATTTCTCTATCACCAATGGGAAATATTGAGAAAAATCCTGTCTGTAAAGTCAAGTCCCAACTGGAACTGAATGTAGCTAGGGATGCCACAGACAAGAAGAAGGACTTCTGTAGGTAGGGGCAAGTGCAAGCCTGCTGCTGAATGAGACAGAAAAGGCTGACACATTCAATGCCACCTTTGCCTCAGCCTTTACTAGCAAGACTGGCCTTCCAGAATCCCAGGTTCCAGAGAACAGGAAGACACACTGAGTATAAGAGGGTCTGGTCTGAGAATACTTAAGCAAACTGGACACACCTAGGTCCAAGGGGACTGATGGTATGCACTGACAAGTGCTCAGGGAGTTGATGACATTGGAAGGCCATGCTCGACAGCCTTTGATCAACCACGGTGAATGGGAGAAGACTGGATGAAAGCAAATGTCACTCCTATCTTGAAGAGCAGCAAAGAAGAGGACTGAGGGAACTACAGGCCAGTCAGCCCCACCTCCATCCCTGGGAATGTAATGGAGCAGCTATCCTGGAAACCATTTCTGGACATATGAATGACAAGAATACCAGCAGTTACAGCACGGCTTTACCAAAGAGAAGTCATGCTTGACCAACCTGATAAACTTCTACCTTGAAATGACTGGGCTGCTAGATCAGAGTAGAGCTGTGGATTTTGTCTACCTGGATCGGAGGATGGTCTTGAACATTATCTCCCGTAAGATCCTCATGGATAAGCTGCTGACATACAGGCTGGATGAGCAAACAACAACATGGATTGGAAACTGGGTGAATGGCTTAGCCAAGAGGTGGATGACCAGCAGCACAAACTCTAGATGATGGCTAGTAACTAGCAGACTACCCAGGGGCCAGTACTGGGTTCAGTCCTCTTTAACATCTCCATGAATGATCTAGACTATGGGCAGAGCACACCCTCAGCAACTTTGCAGATGACACCAGACCAGCAGAAGCAGCTCATACACCACAGGGTCACGCTGCCATCCAGAGGGACATCAACAGGCAGAAGAAATGGGCTGATAGGAGCATCAGGAAGTTCTACAAGGGGAAGTGCAAAGTCCTGTACGTGGGGAAGAACAACCTCAGGCACCAGTACATGCCAGGGACCACCAGCTGAAAAGCAGCTTGGCAAAAAAAGGATCTGGGATCTCCTCACCCTTTTAAGGATCCTGATTAAGTTTAATGCGAGCCAGCAGTGTGCCCTTGCAACAAAGGTGGAGAATGGTACCCTGGACTGCACTGGGCAAAGTATTGCCAGCAAGATGACGGAGGTGATCCTTCCACTCTGCTCAGCACTGGTGAAACCACATGTCAAGTGCTGAGTCCAGCTCTGGTCTCCCTACTGCAAGAGAAACCTGAGCATACTAGAGAGAGTCCAGTGAAGAGCCATGAAGGAGATGAAGGGATGGGAATGTCTCTCCTATTATGAGAATAGGCTGAGGGAGCTGGGACTGTTCAGTCTAAACAAGAGAAAGCTCAGGAGCTCAGTACAGATGTTATAAAAGGGCTTCATGTAGCCCTAGTGCAGAGTCACTGGGAGGAGGGGATAACAGTGGAGTAAAGGAGATGGAAAGCTGCCTGTAGGCAGCGAAAGAGGCTACAGTTTCTCATTAATGCTATTTGTTACAGCACACATTCCAACACTGGTGGCAAGTCTTACTCTCACAGTCAACCTCCATCCACCACATTCCTGAATGTATCGCTTAAGGAGACTAACAAGACATTCACACTTGGCTAAAAGCCACTCACAAATTGACCTCCCTAAAGCATGGCTGGAATGTCTTTCACTCTATACTGTGACCCCAGTCACACAAGTGCTCATCTGCATAAGTATGAGGTGCTTTTAACTTTCAGTGCAGTTATTTTCAATCTCACATTCTACTGCTTCCGAAGTTAAAAGGACAGAACTCAGAAAAACAACACTCTAAGAATTTTGGCACACCTTTGGCAAGCAATACATGCTTTCAATAGCTGGCTATGTATCATAGTCATATCTTTCCCATTACTGTGAAGGTCCTCCCAGTAAATCCTCAGAGTTTACATTTTGTATTAAAGCTTAATATTTGTAAAGTATTCTTGCCAGCTATGGTGTAAAAAGTTCAGATAATATGAAGGAGATTAGTTTTTCATTGAAAATACTAAAGTGGGCAGCTAAAAAGTGAATAACTGGAAAGGATTCAGTCATAGGTTGCCACATAAAGAATATAAATCTTCCTGAAGTTTAACTAAAGTTGTTTAAATGACATTTCAGATATAAAGAAAAAAAATACCTGGCAATAACTGAGGACCTCCATAAGTGTAATCTGCTCATATCCAGCATAGGAAGCTTCAGATACAATACTCTCCTTTTTCATTGAAATAAAACAAAACAAAACAAGAGTGTAAGCTACTAATATATACACAGGCTTAGGATATCACATTAGGCAAATAAATCCCAAATTCAAATCTCACATGTTACTTCAGCCTACCCTGAAACACACACCCCAAAGCAGCTTTTCAAAGTCTAGCAAACAAAAGGAAATTAACTTACACGTTCATAGTCTGGTTCATACTCATAAATGACGCTGTCACTATCTTCATATTCTTCTTCCCTGGTTCTCATCTGGGAAATAACATAAAGAGCATGTAATGTTTTGAAAAATGAATGTATTCAAAATACAAACTGCGGGGAGAACCACCTAGGAATCCAACTCGGAAACTTTCAGTTGTAGTTATATTCCCGCCCCTTGGCTACAAGAGAGCCCAAGAAAACAAGACTCAACACAGTCATCTTATTTATGTACTGCTGCGTTAAGGAAACTTTCCTATCTGACCATATGGGAACCACTCTGGCAGTCACATTCCCACCACCAGAGACCTTCACTGCTGGGACTGAAGCCCCTCTGCAGCGGGTGGTTCCAGTGAGCTGATGGGGGCCCAGCTTGACTCCCTGCACACCCCACTTTCACAGCCAGACAAGGTTTCCTTATTGACTTGACAATGGGTTTGCCACAGCAGAGCCTCAGACCTCTGGTTTCTTAAAGTATTTTTGGCATGGTACAACAACAGAATAACTGGAACTTGGAACTCATCTTGAGCTGAGTGTTTGGAGGGACTGTGTGTATATGTACACAGATATATATATATATATGTATAAAATAATATGTGTTTTTATTTGTTTATTCTAAGGCCAGAACTTTCTCATTTAACTACACATACCGTACAGCCAGGCTTATTTAATCATAGAATCATTTAAATTGGGAAAGAACTCTTAATATGAGTCTAAATTATGAGACTTCACATATATTTTTAAACTGAAAAAAAAATTTAAAAAAAAAAGTGCTTATCTCAATAGGTATAACTGCAAGCAGAACCTGTAAAAAATGTCAAGAGACAATTTTCTCACTGCTTGTAAATTGCTTTTATACAAGAAGAATGGCGCCACCACCTGGACAATCCTGACATTTTTCTTTTACTGGATGGGTGCCTTTCCCATCCACCATATGCTGCAGATATAATGAGTCTGCTGGTGGCGTTTCTGGGCTTTTTCTTTTATTTTTTTTAACTATTCAGGTCTTATTTTAAAAAAGGAAGGCTGGGGGGGGTGTTTCTTTTATTTTGTTTATAACAGGCAGAACTTCAGTGACTGGTAAAATTATGAAGAAGACTATCTGGGAATTACTGAAAAACATCTGAAGGACAAAAGCAGTCATCAGTCACAGCCAGCGGGAGGGGAAAGTCCTGCTTGTCAGAGTAAAGTTCCTTTAATTAAAAAGTGACCCCATGTGGTCGATCAAGGGAAGGCAGTTGATGTAATCTATTTGGATGTCAGTAAAGCTTTTGATACTGTCTCTCATAGGATCCTTCTGGACAAAATGTCCAGCACAGAGCTGGATAAACACATCCTGTGGTGGGCGAGCAATTGGCTCATGGGTCGAGCACAGAGGGTAACAGTGAATGGCAGAACATCAGACTGGTGACCTGTCACTAGTGGGGCTCCTCTGGGCTCCAGGTGACTCATATTGGTGTCATCCTGGTTTAGAACTGGCAGAAGGTACCCTCAGAAGGACTTTTAAATACAGCATTGCCACAGGGTGTGGTTTAAACAGCCTTGTTCCTAAAAAGCTTTGGAACATGAAAATTATTGAGTCTGTCAACTGTTTTCTGCTTTTGGACTTTGGTTAATTTCATCTACTACCTGATCAACAAGATTTTTATTTTATTTATTGGGCCCTGTGCTCTTCAACATCTTCATACATGACTTGGATTCAGGACTAGAAGGAATACTAACTAAGTTTGCTGACAACACTACACTAGGAGGAGCTGCTGACTCACTTGAAGCCAGAGAGGTCCTACAGAGAGATCCGGACAAATCAGAGGGCTGGACGAATCACCAACCATGGACAAATGACCAATCATATGAAGGTTAACAAGGACAAGTGTCAGATTCTGCATTTGGGGCAGGGCAACCCTGAATGTGTGTACAGACTGCAGAATGAGAGGCTGGAGACTCGCTAGAAGCATCCATGCACTGCATAGATATCCAACCTAGCTTCCTCACTGGGATGTCATCCAGTGATCATACAAGAGCGAAGGAAAAATGACATTCCAAATAACACTGAAATTGGCCTCAAAACCGAGGGCTATTGCTTGGTGAAACATACCACGTTCTGTTCCACTACAGTAGGACAAATTCGTTTTCTTTTATTACGCACAACCACAAAATCCACTTTTTCAGGGCTGTGACTGTTTCCTCTCTGCATCATCGTAGAACGGCTCATTTGTGACGCCATTTGATCAGTTAGCACTGGTAAGCCTTCGCCTCCTGGGAAAGTGAAGAGAAAGCAAAGCACATCAGCAAATTTCCCACTGCATTTAACATTTTACTACAATAAAAACAGGCACAGTCACCCCTCCTTTTTTTTTTTTTTACCTTCTAAACTGCTTGGCTATTTAAAATTTGTTTAGTGGCACATTTTCAAACACTTATTAATCCAACTCATTTAGATCTGAAATGATAAATTCAATTTCACATTGTTTCTTCCAAACTCTCTCCAGCCTCCATTTCATTCTGCCTCGCTTTTCACTCTTGATTTCCATGTCCAATTCAAAACCCCAACAAAACCAGCTCCCTGAAAATTCAGGCAATACACTCACTATATAAAACACAGTTCCCATTTATTCAATCCTAAGCAGTCACTCCCCTACATTTATGGGGTTCCTCCCAGTTTCGACATTGAAACATTGTGCAACAAAAAAGACCTGCTCCAGGTCAGGGACTACCAAACACAAACTATTCCTAAGTGATACACGGAATGCCTCCACCTCTCCATGTGTGGACCCAGCACAGTTAAAAAGCCATAACCAGTTTATTATTGCACTGTGCTAATTCTTTTGAAGTCCACACAATTGCCAGACCTGCCAGAATGGAAGAATGTTACAGGATTTTCACAGTGAAGAGAAAGGGTTCTACTGCCAAATTTGTCTGTACATCAGTTACAGGTTTCTACCTCAGATTTTCAGGAAAGGGCTATAGCAGCTCTTTTAAAAAGAAATAAAATCCTCTTATGAGCGGAGTAAGGAAAAACAAACAGACAAAAGTAACTACTTCCCCTTGAGTGCTATATATTTTAGCTACAGATGGGCCAAGCACTATATAGATAACAAGATATAGAAAAGAGAATATATTAAACCACAAGTAAAGTTAAAGAAGTTGAACAAGACCTTGGAAATAATAAGAGCAGCACTGGCATAAAAAGGCAACACCAAGTCTCCACCATACTGTTCTGCCATGATGAAGTTTTCAGATGGCATAGGCCAAGCTGAAAAGGTATGGTGAGGAAGTTTTGTGGACATCTACAGTAAATTCCTTCAATATAAATGGGGCTGCATGAGAAAAGTAACATGGGTACTTCTTACCACTTTAGCAAAATAATGGAACTAATTTCACGTCCCAATTGGAAACTAGGGCTAGTATCTCAGAAGTGATGAGAAAACTAATCCCATGAGACTAGGACAAGCTAAGAGAAATACTGAAAAGCAACGACAATTGCATTTCTTCAATGCAGCAGAAGAGGAAGGGCCAGGGGCAGGACAGAAAAGTACAAATATATCCAGTATCACAAATAAGAAAAAAATTTCCTTGCATTAAAAGCCCAGACAAATGCAGCCAAGGTGGCAGATACAATCTAGGCAAGATCTGTGGTAGATTTAACTAGTAAACATAATTTTGAAATCATAATCAATAACTGGGTAATAAAAATACATAAGGTGAAGATTAAAACCTATCTACTCTCCCCCAATCAGGTCCAGAATTTGCCTCCTTTCCCAGACCACCTCATGCCTCTATGCCTGTCACACAGGCCAAGCTAGCACTCATCTCCTAGCACTCAGCACCTCCAGAATGGAGAGCCCAGGACATGACAGAGAGCGCTCTGTGGGACCAACACCAACACAACCAAGAGGACATGCTGAAAGGAGAAGGGCTGCAGGATTAACACACTGGCACAGTACTGCTACTGGAATTACTAAATGTTTGTAACAGCTATGAATGATTTTTGTCTGGGCCAGTGAAGCATGGGCTAAGATTCTGAGAGACTTTGATCTTGCATGTTAAAATAAATACGATGAATTAGAGACAATCACCAAAGGCTACTTACAGCTAATAATTTATCACCTTAAACGACCATCTTACTATCATTATGCATCAGTATCTCCAGTACTAAATTACACTGAGCAGTTTATCTAAAACTCTAATTTTTTAGGTTAGCTTTTTCCATGACATTTATTTTCCAAATTACTTCCTAATTCATTCCTAGGTACATTTACTTCTTAAGTAAGTAAAAAACTGTCTTTTAAAAATGTAATATATCACATATAACATAATACAAAATATTTTAGCGGGTTCACTATTTATAAAGACCTGTAAAGTAATAACTAAAAAGTACCTCTTTTAAATGCATTGACAAGCAATTTCTCTGAAGTAGCTTTCTAATAAATTGTGTTTTAAAGGTATGGTCAATATAGAAAGCATTCCAGAGCAGCACTGAACACACAGCATTAAAACTAGCCATAAACTATTACACTGCCAATAAAAAAATCCAGTAATTACCATAGGCAAGTTGACGGACGTGGTGAATAGCACTGTTTGCTTCACAGTTTTGTTCAACTGACATGCAGCTTTCTGTAGACAATCCGTGTTCTCCGTGGTCCATAATCACTGCTTCAACATCATCTTCAGACTTCACACATATGTAATCTATTAGCATATGCAGAAAGAAAAATGGGTAAAATACACTACTCTGCACTTCAGATAACAACTGTAGTGCCTGTATCACATCTAGCAATACTTCAATTGTACCACAGACTATTTTAAATTCAGTTTCACTTTAGTGACTAAATGCAAAGTCACTTTTAAAAACAAACACTGAGGTTTTAACACTCACTAGAAGGGAAGCAGCTTACTATTGCTTAGTTGGTGGGATTTCTGAAACTACTTAGCACCCAATTCTTCCTGTAGTGTCCAGCTTCAAAAGGAACAGTTATAAGCCAGTTGAACTTCTACCAAGTCCGTTATTTACACTTTCAAGCGTATGAAAAAAATACCAACATTTCCAGACCAAATTAAGCTTTCATAAATAAGTCTTGCTTAATACACTTGAAACAAATCAGTCTACAAATCCTAACTCTGTATTTGTTATTCAGGTCAAACCAAACATCTGCTGTCAAGGAGATGTCGTACAGGAACACTGAATGGCAAATCTGCACTACCAGACTTTTTCCAAATAAACACACTACATCAAGAGAAAAATGTCCTGGTTTCAGAATAACTGTATTACAGTTATTATCGCTGATCCAGTGTTTTTGACAGGGTCATTAAAGGAATGGAGTTTATTCTTCATGAAACAAATTAATGGAAAGAACCATACCATAAGCACTAAAGTTAGGAAATAAAACTTAAATTCAGCCAGTAGACTGGCTGCATAATGTCACTCTATGTAACACAGGATCTCTACCCTGTTCATTGCACAGGATGGACCGAGGTCCAGGAATGAATCGGAACTGTCTGAATGTAATAGCGGTCTGGGCTTTTACTCTCCAATTCACTCCAAATCCTGCTCTCTGTTTCAATAAAGCTGAATTCCACAGGTCATTCAGTTTTCCCTCTGGCCAATACTCCTAATCTAATCCAAAAGAAATAACAAAGGCAGAGTTTGGATTTGGCTGTCATCAGATTAAGAAAGACTTGCCCAAACTGAGGGTCTGCTCAGAAACACTCATCTACTGCCACACAGTCAGCAGCATTGTTTTTAGTTGTGACAGAAGCCAAAAAGCTACCTGGGGCAGAGCTGACCTGCACAAAGGAGTTTAGCTGAGTGGATACAAACTAGGATATGCTGCTGAGGCTGCAACTAAGAACAGTTCTTGGCCAGTTTTCATCAGCTGCATAGAAAATTAACAATGGGACTACTCACGAACTTAATTTAGGTGCAGCTTTTAGCAAAACACCTCAGTGATATTCACTGACTGAAGTTCATTGCAGGCTCACATGAGGAGTTAGCATGCATTGAATTAACTAACTGCCTCACAGGCACAAGTTTTTTTTTGTTGACAAACATTTAGTATTCTACCTACTTAGGGAGAGAATTAAGGAAGAGTCAGGAAAAGGGCATCTGCAATGAAGCAGGAGGGATCAGAATCCTCTCTGGCAACTTCCCTAGCCAGTATGCCAGATTAGTGCATGGCCAGACAAATGTCCTACTTACAGCTGGGCCTCTTCTGTCCTGCAATCATCCTTCTATCCCTAAATACAGGAGGTGACACATGTTGTATGCAATTTATGCAACCCTTCAAAGTACAGACTTTCCCTGTATATTCTCATGCCTCACTTTGGCCAACAGGAAATAAGGCAGCCAAACAAGCCTACCTGATCAGCAACTATGCCACTCAAATCTACAGAGCAGACAGAGCAATGGGTATAAAAGAGGGAAAAATTCTGTGGAACCAGCACACAGCAAAAACACAGCAAAGTCAAAGCAGCTCCTTTAATCTGGATTAAAGCAAGGCCAGTATGATCAGAAGTCAGGAGAGTTTCTATAACTGGTTTAAACTGAACACAAAGCTCAGTCTCCCCTCTACCACTCTCCCTGAAATAAGTTTTAAAATCAGAATTTCAGTGGTGCAGTGGACTATGAGCAGAAAGTGTTTCCAAAGTCGGTAGCTAGAGCAACTCACAGCCAGAGCATAAATATAAACCAAACAGGAAAATACAGAAAGGGAAGCCACCTCAATTAAAACAGCGCAAAAATCCCCAACCAAATCTAATTAATTACAACACATTTCCATAATAATGCAAAAGCAATACAGCCACAAGCATTAGCCCCTCAAAACTTTTGACCTCTCAGATGGTGGCCAAAATTCTTCTCATCCCCAGGGCTTTTAATTTCCACTACTCATTGCTGAACATAGCTGCTCTCATACAGGCAAAGGAAATGTTAGAATGAAAGATGAATACAAACTACAACATAAATAAAATTGGGACATACATACAGTGACACCACAGACAGGACAGCGAGAGTCACAGATAGAAAGAACTATTTGTTCTCTAAAATAATATAAAGATTGAAAGATGTTGGTATTAAACATATAGAAATACTAAAACCAAGCAAACAAACAACAAAAAAACCTGGACTCTTTCAAAGGCAGTTAAAAACAAAAACATAAAAGCAAAAAAAACCTCTGGAGCAACTATGAGTTACCTACACAAACTAATAAAGCAAAGCAACCCTACTCAAATAAATAATGAATTTAGGTGGATTTAAACTAACCCACAAAAGGAAAGACAGCTAGCATTAACTTGGATCACAATCAGATCCTGCTCTATTTTATCATGTGGCACTTACACTAACATACACAAAAAAAGTGAACCAACACAATAGAAGTCCAGGGACACCAGTGCCTTTCAGAGTTAGTATCATCCCATCACAGCTTTAGGTAATCATTTGGCTTTTAACTCAATCTCACCCCAGACACACCTGAGAGTTTTAAGCAAATTTCTGCATACTACAATAAGCTAAGCTACGAGCACAGAAATACAACCAGATCTGATGCATCAGCTGAAGCCTGAAGACAAGCTGACAGACTATTTTTCTTTCCCCAAGTATGTTACTAATTAAATATATCACGTATGACAGTGGGATGAGGAAGGACTTGTACTGAGTCAGACATTACCTGATGACTGCTCTCACTTATTGCAGAAACAGAAATGTAGGTGACCATCAAGTATGGAATGGTAAAGGGACGTGGGTAAGAGAGCTGAAAGCACCAACTTGTACTAAATGCTATCCCAACCTCTACTACACAGTTCCTGGAGGGCTGCTTGTAAAATCACCAAATCAAACTTTTAACAGAAACCCAGTGTGTTTTCTTCATTTTCTAAGAGTTAGTTAGACACATCTCTGTATGTCTGCAATGATGATCTCAGTAGTCCCAGATGCAATAGCCAGCCATGGAAGCTATGTGTAAGACAAACTAGATTTTACAAAGATGCTTAAATACAGCACTCAGAAAAAAACCTGACTGCACTTACTTCAAGTCACATCCTTGAATTTAGCATACTTCTGACAGTTTTGTCCTTAATCTAGATAGGTTGTCAGTGATCAGAGACAACAGAATACTCTAGCACAGATAAAAATGCTTATCAACAGCCTCTGAACAGTGAAACAATAGTTAATCTAGAATGCTGTTGTTGGAATTTGCATGAGTGAAATTTGAAACAAACTAAGACAACAGAACCAAATGTCAAGGCCATACAAACCGTTTACTACGGAGAGATATAATAAAACCACATTTCCTGTGGCTTTAGGTCTCATATTTGGATTATAATGATAATGGCCAGTCTCTTCGCGAACGAAGAACCGGGGAAGGTCTTTCCACCTTCCAGCCTGCGCATTGGATTTTTTAGGTGAGACACAGTGTGCGCGGAACTGAGCCCACCCTTTAATCCTGAGGTTCATCTGCCGGGGCCAAGCACGCTTGGAC